GTAGCCTTTAGCCACTAATCTATTCTTTAATCTTTCCACCTCTCCGTTTGCTTTATGTTTTATCTTATAAACCCATTTTGATCCAATAGCTTGTTTTCCTGGTGGTAGATCAACCAGCTGCCATATGTTATTTTCTTCTAATGCATTTATCTCTTGCTGCATTTCCTCAATCCACCTGCTATCTTGAGCAGCTTCCTTAAAAGAACCAATGCTCAATGTGTGCTGAGAAAGCCTTCAAATATGACTGATATCCTGCAGTGAGGTTATCATATGAGAGTCCTTGAGAAATGGGGTATAGGCTATTTCTTGTGAATTTCCCTGGTGTCACATAGTCTTTCAGCCATATAGGTGGTCTAGCGATCCTTCCTGATTTTCTTACATCCACTACATCTTCTTCTGGTGAAGTGCCTTCAACTTCCTCAACTGTATCTGCAGCTAAATGATCTGAATTCATGCTGATGTTTGCCTCTTCCTGATTCAGTGGTGGTAATTGATCAATACTGTCTGCACCCAATTCTTCATGTAAATGCCCTTGTGGTTTTGTATGTATGATATTTGGAGTTATATCTTCAGTTTGTGCAGGGATGCCAGGAGAATGAGATTGAGAAGTATTGGGATTGGAGGATATTTCAATAGGTGTTAGCCTAGGAGGATCTTGTGGGAATATGTCATCTAAGTCTGAAGCCATTCCTTTGAAAGGAAATACTTCTTCTCTGAAAACAACATCTCTGCTCACTAGAAATGTTCTGTTCTCCAAATCATATAATCTGTAACCTTTTTGAGTTTCTGAGTAACCTATCAATAAAGCTCTCCTTTCTCTTGGAGCAAATTTGTCTCCTCTAGGTAGAGTGCTTGCAAAACATAAACATCCAAAAACCTTCAGATGCTCAATGCTTGCTGGCTTCTTATAGAGGACCTCATAAGGTGATTTCCCTGATAGAACAGAGGTTGGTCATTTGTTTTTCAAGTAAACTGTTGTCTTAACACAGTCACCCCAAAATCTATTTGGTAAAGAGCTCTGAAATTTTAATGCTCTAGCTACTTCCAGTATATACCTGTGTTTTCTCTCCATCACCCCATTTTGTTGGGGTGTGTATGGGCAGCTACTTTGATGCACTATGCCTAATGAACTCAGTAACTCATTACACTTTGAATTAAAGAATTCAGTACCATTGTATGATCTTAACATTTTTACATTCAAGCCAAATTGGTTTTGCACCATAGTAAAGAAGTCCTTCAACACAACAAATACCTCACACTTTGACTACAACAAAGATATCCAAGTATATCTGCTAAAATCATCAACCAGTGTTACAAAGTAATGTTTCTTGTCATCTGTTCGTATCCTGTGAGGACCCTAAACATCTACATGCACTAGTTGAAAAATCTGTTCAGTTTTATTGCTACTAAGTTGGAAAGGAAGTCTATTCTGCTTAGCCAAGGGACATACTTCAACTGTGTTGTGTCTTGGCATCTATCTTATTCTTCAGTAGAGGAATATGTTGCATTGCAACAGTTAAAGGATAACCTAATATAAGGTGCCATAGTGCTGAATCTTCCTGCACTTGCATAATACTTCATGCTATAGCTGGGAATTCCTTATTGATCCCTTTATTCAACAGATACAAACCATTGTGTTCTTTACCAATCCTCAGAACCTTTCCACTGTAGAGACCCTGAAAAACACAAAAATGAGGGAAAAATACGGCACAACATGACAACTCCTTAGTCAGTTTAGACACTGACATCAGATTAAACTTAAAGTTAGGAACATGTAGTACATCTTTCAGTGTCAATTCTTCTAATATCTTCACATTTCCTGTATGTGCTACATGACATTTCCCTCTTGTAGGAACTTGCACGACACTATTATTCTGGTTTTCAATCTTTCTTACATTGTTTAGTACTTCCTTATAAGGTGTAACATGATGTAAGGCACCAAAGTTTATTATCCAATCATAGTTAAACGCCTTGAACAAAAAAGAAGTTATACCTGTCATTAAGGTATGACATTCACCTGGATCAGGATCTGGCTTGTTTATGAGGCTCATCAGTTGTTTGTATTGATCTTCTGTGAAGAAATGCCCTTGTATATGAGAAGTAGTGTCAGAACTTCCTCCTTCTCCTGCTGATACATTAGCATATCCTTTCACTCTAATGTTCTAAGGCTTCTTCTTGCTTTTAAAATATGATGGATAGCCTATGATCTTATAGCAGTTCTCCTTCAAATGACCTTTGTAACCACAGTAATCACATATGAGACCTGGTTTCCTTGTAGCCTTGATACCCTATCCCCTTTCAGCTAGCATAGTTAAAGGTTCCTTGTCTACGTTGACTCTCTTCCTGAACTGCCAGTGCATACGCTTGATTCACAGTTAATACAGGTGTTTTCAGAAGAATCTGGCTTCTCACATGACTGTAACTTTCATTCAAACCAACAAGGAACTGTAACAAGCGTAAATATTTGAACTGATCTAGAAAAGGTCTAGTTTCCTCACAATCACACCCTGCTCCTGGTACCATTAGATCCATTTCATCCCACAAATCCTTCATTTTAGTGTAATAGGTTGTTATAGAGTCCGTGCCTTGTCTTAGAGTTCCTATTGTTGTCCATAAGTGATAAAACCTAGTAAGGTTTGATTTGTTAAAATGTTCCTTAAATTCATTCCATACCTTCCTTGCATCAGAAGCGTAGATGATGCTAGGCTGTAATTCAGCAGATACAGTGCGACCAATCCATGAGAGCATCACAACATTACATTGTTCCCATTGATGCCTTGATTCACCTATGTAAGAGCTTTTCAAACAGGTTTCGTCGATGAACCCTAACTTATTTTTCACCAACAATGCCATTCTCATTGATCTGCTCCACAATGCGTAATTCTTAGGTCCTGTAAGCTTGATATCAATCAAGGCTATCCTTGGAGTGTCTGTTTGTTGAAAACAGTGGGTGATTGTGATCAATTTGCAGATTACCAGTTTGCGCCATGATAGACCAGCTCAAGCTTCAACAATGACTGTTAATTGAAATTTTTAAATCCTTGATCTAATCTCAAATCGCCCGCTCTGATACCATGACAAAATCTGAGTAGAGATCTAGACTAAATCGCAATTGAATGCACTGAAGAAGAAGAAGAACATAGCTGAAAGAAGAAGAGATATGAAGAGGAAGATGAATTCTGTTATTCTACAAAAACTAACTCAGTTAGTGCAGAATATCTGCTTTTATACAAAATCCCCTCACACGAGTCACATGTGTGATAAGGATAAAAAGACTAAAGTACCCCATGCTAACTAACATAACTACCAAGACTTTAATATAGAGAACGACAACTTTGTTGCTTTCTTCGTAGTGTGAAAGTAGGAGAGAGCACTAATAAAATTTTGAACCAAATCCTATAGTATGCTACTTTAATCTTCCCTCAATATTCTTCAACATATAGTTAACTGCAGTCATTTAAAGGAGTTGCTCTTTCAGTGGATGTTTCATGTGCACAATTTCATCTGTCGCTGTTCTATCTATTTTTGTTATGTATCTCTTTTCAATAACAATCACAAATTTAAATAGGCATAATACATAAAAGATCATTTGACCATGTAGTCAAATTCCTCTTACACATTTGTTCACTAACTCTACATACTTAAACCTTTCAAAAGTACTGTCAAATACACACCACTTTAATTTTTAACCAGTTTTTTCAGATAAGTGTAATGTCACACGCCAATGAGATCCTGACACGTGGATTAACTTAAGGAAAAAAAAAAGAAAATGTGGAAAGTTACAGCATTAATTATACCATCTTCCCCACCACCATTACACTACCTCCGCCGCTGCTCTTATTAACTTACCGCTGAACAGTTTTAACTTTCCCCAAATCTCAGACTTGAGATGATAAATGGGAATTCTTTTCTATTCAATTTGGCAAAATACATTGCCATCTCCCTAAACTTGACACGGATTATTAATTACAGCCTTAAACTATTCGTGGTCTTAATTACCCTCCTCAACTTGGCCTTTTGAGAGCCATTACCCCTCTGGACGCTGATGTGGCAAAGAGTGTTGGTGCACTCCCCTGCCAGTGTATAGGTTAAGGTCTGGTTTACCAAATTTTAGAATCAGATCCCATAATAAGGGTATAGGTTAAGGTCTTTGAATATATAAGAATCCTTATTTTAGAATTTTATAATCCTTATTTGATCATGGTACCTTTTTTTTTGTGAGCTAATTTGTTTGAAGGGCAACCCCCTTTTTGTCCACACCCCGCCCTTGTATTCCTTTTTCGCTTGTATTATTGGAGGTATGGTTTCTTGTCCCAAAAAAAAAAAAAAAAAACTCCAATAATGCCTTGTCTAGTTATATCCTAAAATACTACGTACATAACGAACCTTTGCATAAATGGTGGGTTTGGTTCCTTATTCCCTCATTTATTCCACCAGTATCTGTAACTAAATTTCCTTCAAACATCGCTGCCTCATCACAACTCTTAAATGTTCCTCCAAATTCTTTTTGTTACATGATCTAAAGCAAACCAAAATATTTCAGCTTAATCCTACCTCAAAATCGTTGCACAAAGAAACAGTGACCATACTTATGAAATAACTTAAATTTTCCTTTCAAACAGCTTGTGATACTTAACTCAAGCCACATAAACATTATGACGTGTTGAAAATTTCGTGGGGCGTAGCGAGTGAGGACTTTTCAACTTGAAATTCTAGAATACCATTATCGTGCAGATAAGAGGAGGGATATGGTACATAATTATACTTGGTAAATAAAATCTTTAATTATCAAAAAACAAAAGAGGAGGGATATGACGACAGAAATTATACTGCAGGTACACTTATGTTCAAAGACATCACTACTACACTTAAAAGTGCTTTTCAGATCAGCACATGATGTTAATTATCAGCATAAGGCAGACTGGATCTAATTAGAGAAGAGACTAAGAATAATTATATTGCAGCATTATATTATTCTTTCAACCAACAGCTAACCATTTTCATTTAGGGGATAGCCATTGGAGCTCAACGCCATACTGCCAAGCATTGATAGAGTCTCCTGCCTTCAAATCCACCACAGAAGTATACGCTGTGCAGCCACCAACCCTAACCCTAATTCTATGAGAAGTCTTAGAATCCACCTTCAGGTAACTGCAGCATACTGTATCTCTACAACCCTTAACTTCATTCTCAAACTTCCTGCAAGGACTGTTTAAAGAGCAGTTCAATGGGGATAAAAGAATTCTCTCTGAGCAGTTAAGTAACATAACAGTATTCCGTGACGATATATTGAAGGGAGAGTTCTCATCAATTCTTAAGCCGCCTACAGAAAGATCAAAAGAGTTGCAAGTGTCATTCTGCATGAGAGGAGAACTAATAATAAGTCTAGATGCATTTGGGTTTATGCTGAGGATTTTGTAGTAAATTCCTTCAGCAGACAAGAACTCTAAGCTACCATTTTTGCAGTGAATTTTGTAGCTTGGATTCCCACATTTATCACTAGTACTAAGAGGGTATGGCACATCCATGATGCCACATTTTGGACATTCAAGAATTGTTGACACAAGTTAACGAAAAGAGAAAAAGGAAAATCAGAACTTCCATTGCTAAATCTTTTTCAATGTTTCGACGAGCAATAATAGCTGCAGTTCCTACTTCTATTTATACATATTTATATGCTAACTAGTTGTTAGGCAAAAGAGTATTTAACTGCAATTTGTTTAGTGCATTATCGTCTCACAGGGGAGAGGCGATGCCACCCCCAATTGTCTTGGGTCGTAGCGTTCAAGAGCAGATTTTAATATTCTATTTGGACCATGATAATAGTACATAAACTTATTAGCTGTTCCTAGTACCAAAGCATTAATGCTTTTATAAGTTCATTGTTTGATCAAAAATATAAATTTTGGTTCAAATAATTAAATTTATATAAACAAAGGTTAATCCTAGTTAAGAATAATATCCTTAGATCTTAATATCAGAAAAAGTAGTTGATAAGTGTTTATGCGGATTGCAGTGACACTATGTGATAAATGCTTTGAAAAATCAAGAACAGTGATGTAACATATAATATTCAATGAACAATAATAAATGGCATCTAAGTAGATAAGAGGAACGATCGACTCAATCAATAAAGGGTGGAATAAATGAACCTTCCACCTGATAATGATTGAGTGACAAATCCTAGAATAACCAAGGATTTCTCGGATATGATGGTAAAGGGTAGATAAGAATCTCAGTGCTATTCTTACGAATGAATCTCACGTGCTCCACTATTCTATCTCCTTTTTCTATTTATATGGGATATCTTCCCAAGAAATCCTAATAGTACAAATGTAAGAAATATTCGCTAGAATATCCACTAGAATATTCTTTTTCAGATCCTATCTTGAAAACTAGTTGTTACAGCTCTGTCGCCGATACTCGATCTCGACCTTGATCCTTGTTGGTGCCTTGACTACTGCTCTCCTCGACCACAGGCTTATGCGGCTTCTCGGACCATCTTAAATGATGACTTGAGGATCTCTCTCATAATGTTATCTCGACATGAATAATCTTAAGGCGGATTTTAACCCATACATTCATCTCCTTCCATTATTTTACGTGCATGCTATGTTACACATGCATGTTGTAGTATTTTAATGTCCACATAATCTGAATTTATGACTTAAAATCATAGCCTTGGATGTATAAAAAGTATTAACACAATTAATACTTTCTCTATTGATAGAAAATAGGAGTCCATCAAACAGTATAGAGAACCAGGTTCTTTATCTGTTCTCGCAGTAAATACACAGAAAGTAAAAGACACACGTGGAAAACTATTCGTACTCAAGGGATTGAAAATCACGACCTACCGTAGTAAGATTTCAACTCCACTATACTGAGCTGCTTCAGATTACAACTTATTGCAATCTAGAAATTAAACTCTTATCCCTCACCCCTTACAATAACTCTATTGCAAGCTCTTTGTAATAACCCAATTACAAAGCTAACACATTTTAACTCTAGTCAACAAAACAAAAACAATAACGGTTGAATATTGTCCTACGAAAGTACTTCTTGAAAGATGTGTAGGATTACAAGTAAAGAACGAAAGATAAAGACACAACAAACTAGGGACTAAGACATCTTCAGTGTTGAGATCTGGTCCTTGTGTTTGTAGCAACTTTGTTCTTGAATGCTCTTGGAGAATAGTGTCGGCTAGCACTTGAGAGAGTGTGTTTTTCAGATGTGCAAGCGTTAGGTCAAACGTTGTATCATGTTGTTTATATATGAGAGAGCATGTGTGAATAGATATGGACAATATATTTTTTGGTTTGGTCTCTAGCAGTAGTTGTTGTGCTCTAGTCGGTACAGTGAGACGACTTTTATAACTATAGAGTTGACTGTACGACGACTGAGGAACTGATCGCATCTGGTCCTTTATCTGGTTCCTTGCAAACATTTGGCCAGGCATCAAGACATGAAGTAACATATCGTAACACTCCCAAAGAAACTGATCACATCTGGTTCCTATTTGGATCTTTGAGAAAGTTTGGTAAATTATCAAAACCCACAATAGCATAACGTTTCATCTATAAACAAATCTCTATGGTAAAAATTACTTCCACCTTCCCGTTTTACGTGTAGGTTTTTTATTCGTTCAGGGAGTTCATGAAATTAAAGAATTTTTTTTTGATATAGGAGTCAAATATATTATACTTATGTTTTAAAATGAGTGATTTTGAGAGTTTTATGTGTCTTTTCGTTTTCTCTCTTTTTGTATAAAAGAATTAACTTTTACATCAGGAGGATCTTAACCATTCATGTCATTTAGGGTACGGTAATATGGGAATGATGACATTAAGTAATTTTCAAAAAGAAAAATATGCTATTCTTTTTTTTTTTTTTTTTTTGATAAGCAGGGATCTATTATATAAATATCACAAAATAGAGTTTACATAGTTAGCATTGTCCAAAGATACATTACATACTTGGCTACTACAAAAACTACTAATGTCACGTAGGACATTTTTATTTCCAAGCGATGCAAGCCTAGAGCATGCATCTTTGCTAATGTTCTTAATTAGGTAGACAGGTCCTTCATAGTCATAGGATAAGACAGCGATTACAAAAGATTGAGAGTTGTTTTTTCCTATAGTTATTGGATCCCAACAACCCATATCTACTTTGTGGTTGATTAGAGTGGAAAGCATTTCCATAAAAATGATAAATAAGAATGGAGACATCGGATCACCTTGCCTAAACCCCTTGTAGGGACAAAGTAATCAGTTCTTGAGCCATTAACTAGGATAGAAATTATGGTTGAGGAGATACAATTCATAATAAGATTAGTAATGTTTGGTGGGAATTTAAAGAAGGTGAGAGCTCTATAGATGAAGGACCATTCAAGGCAATCAAAAGCCTTTTCGAGGTCGATTTTTAAGAACATATTGTGATTATTAACACGGTATCTATTCATTTTGAATATAAGTTTTTGAATAATAATAGCATTGTCACTAGCCTTTCTATATTTTATAAAACTAGATTGATAGAGGATAATGAGACCGTTTAGGAAGGGCTTTAATCGATTTGAAATGACTTTGGTAATAATTTTGTAAATAGTGTTGCAAAGTCCAATTGGCCTAAAATACTTTAAGTTGTTCGCATTTGGAATTTTAGGGATAAGACATAGGAGGGTATCATTTATACCTTTAGGAATATTTCCATTACTGAAAGCTTCTTGGCAAAGGCTAATAATTGATTTGCCAACAATGTTCCAATAGTTTGAAAGAAAAAAGGGTGAAGGTCATCCGGGCCTGGGGCTTTGTAAGGCTTAAAGGAGAAACATGCCCTAATAATCTCATCATTTGTGAGGGGATTATCTAGTGATGATAGGTCAATGTCATTAAAAAATTTAGGATCATTTCTTATAGCATTCCAATCACTGGAGACATGTGAAGTTGTGAAAATCTTATTAAAGTAATCTCTAGTATGATTAAGAATGGCTCTAGGATCATCGATCCAATTATTATTAAAGAAAACAATTTTTTCCTTCTTTTCCCTTTGGTAGCCATAATGTGGTAATATCTAGTATTTTCATCCCTCTCATTAAGCCAATGTATTCTTGAGCGTAGTTTCCAGTAGTCTTCCTCAATTTTTAGGATTTTATTGAATTTCAGTTTTAAGGTAGCTTCCAAATTGTGGAGGAAAGAGCTTGAGTGATAGGCCGACGAGTTTTGAATACCATTAAGCCTCGCTAAAATACGCTTCTTTTTATTAAAAATATCACCAAATGTGTTGTTTTTCGAAGTAGTGACATCGTCTCTAAAGGTCGATGAAACCACGATGTAGTCATTGTTAGTCCAAGCAGAAGATACAACATCTTTAACTTGTGGATGCTTACACCAAAAGGGTTCTAGACGGAAAGGTTTAGGAAAAATATTGTACTGCTTGGGTATAAGATTAATGAGTAATGAATTATGTTCCAGATGTGTTTTAGGAAGGTGAGTTATAGAAGCATTTGGGAAGGTTTGGATCCACTGATCGTTTCCAAAAACTTTGTCAAGGCATTCCATAATGAGACTGTTATTATTGAATCTATGGTTAGACCAAGTATATTTAATACCTTTATAACCAAGATCAACTAAATTACAGTAATTTAGACTAGACCATAATTTAAGAACTCGTCTATGGTTCAATGATCACTTCCTAATTTTTTTTTTGTTCTAAAAACATCATTAAAATCCCCTTACTAGCCATGACCCTTTATAATTATCAGCTATGTTTTCAATATTTTTTTCACATTTGATCTCTAATTAAATAATTAGTGCTAGCATACATTGATGAAAATAACCAAATTGATCTAATAGGACGTACCTCAATGGCATGATTCTTACGAACAAAGTTGTGAACATTGACCTTAGCATGGTCCCATAGAACAACCATACCACCTGCTTGTCCATCAGCTGGAACTTCAATCATATTGGAGAATCCACATTCATTTAGAAGAGTAACATGGGATAACATTCTGGTCTCAAGAAGAGTGACCACACATGATTTGTGGTGCACCATTAGCTCTCTAAAATTCCTCCTAATATCATCATTATCCCCCCTAATATTCCATATAATGAAATTGATGGGACTAATCATATTATATTCTTGTGCATGAGCATGGCCATTTTCCATCAAGTCCCAAGGGGTAGATGAATTTCTCCTTAGAGAAGGAACTAGGATCATTGCATGTTGCCCACCGTTGGATCATGTGGGGGACGAATGTCCATTGAGTATTTGTGTAGGCTTCGAGGGCATGCAAGTATGTGCCTCTTCTCTTGTGTTTTCTTGAATAGGAACACTTTTACCTTGTTTAGGTTTGATAATTCCACCACCTATTCTCCTATTAAGTCTATTTGTTCGATTATTTCTTCTTCCATTAGGTTGCCTGCATTTGGAGCTACTGGAGGATTGGGGTTCATTTCCCCCATATGCATTTGCACGTTGGGGTCCTGTGGTTGTGGTTGAGGGGGTGGTGCTTGATGAGGTGCTT